GGTTAATTTACACAGTCACCATCCTGTCCTGATCTGAGCTACTGCATTATAGTAGGTAGTGGGGAGTATTTCCTAGGATACTAAATGGGAGGGGCCTTGGGACACCTTTTAAACCTCACCACCTGTCAGTCTCTTCCCTGTGGAGAGAGGGGAGGGTTGGAGATTAGATGTGTGACTATTAGAATTAGTAAGAAGGGTAATGGAGCGCACAAAATTTGGGGGAGAGATCCAGAAAAGGAAACGTGGGATACTGAAGGCAGACTCCGGGTATCCTGAGTTGGCATTCTGGGCCAGTGCTGCTCAAAGTGTCACTTGTCAACCTTGAAGAGGAACTTTTCTTTTCTCTACATAAAGACTTGCTTTTTGTAGAGACTCTCCAGCCCTGGATTTCTAGGCAGGATTTCTCAAACCTATCCCACGTGTTTTTAACTTTTTTGTTTTGTTTTGTTTTGTGTTTTTGCGGTACGCGGGCCCCTCACTGTTGCGGCTTCTCCCGCCGCTGAGCACAGGCTCCGGACGTGCAGGCTCAGCGGCCATGGCTCACGGGCCCAGCCGCTCCGCGGCACGCGGGATCCCCCCGGACCGGGGCACGAACCTGCGCCCCCCGCATCGGCAGGCGTACTCCCAACCACTGCGCCACCAGGGAAGCCCCTTAACTTTTTTTTTAAGCATAATTAAAGTCTCCCAACTGATTTACATGAAATAAGTAGTAGCATACAGACAGAATCACTATACTAACTGCTAATTAGATTGTGACTACACTTTCATAATGCCTAGTTCTTTCCTTTGAAACCCTTAACATACTTATTATTGTTTAATCTGTTATTTTTAATGATTTGTTCAACATCTGTTTCCCAAACTGTAAGCTCCATGAGGACAAAGGTCATGTTTGCCTTGCTTACTACCGGGTCCACAGAATGTATCATAGTGTACAGCACTTAGGCAGATGGTAAACATTGACTGCACTATCTAAAAATTGAGATTTATAGACATATTAGACCAAAGTATAAATCACATCTTTCTTGACTAGGATTTTGCAGTTAATGAAGCCTTTGCTACTGTTCCAGGTATAACTTGGAAAATTATTCTCATTCAGACAATGAATTCAAGAAGACTCCTTGCACTATCTCTTTCTGGCCTTAAGCTAACTGTCTGCTTTTTTTACCGATCCAATCAGAAGACCCTCACCAAACCTACTATAGCCTAAACTGACTATACATTTGGTCACATTTATTCTCCCCTCATAACCTCGTGTTCTTTTGGAAGAAGCCTACCCTATCTGTCCCACTGCTGAAATGACAAGCCAGCTTCCTCTTACTTGCTCCCAATAATTATCAGTAATTATCCTCAAAGGAAGGATTTCTTATTGAAACAGAAATTTTAACAACTTCCATCTTCTTCTTTCTCCTGAACCAATTGTAAATGAACTTGAACAACTTAAATATATGTGAGCAGTGATATACCCTGTGTCCTTATGTTAGGGTAAATGCATGTTTGCCTTCTCTCTCCCTCCAAAACAGTTACTCTCAACCCTGGCTTCATATTAGAATCACCTGAGGAACTTTGAAAGCATACTTATGTCTGGGTCCCATTTCAGAATGTCTTATGTAAATGATTTATGCTGAAGTCCAGGCATAGATGTAATTGTAAAGGCCCCCAGGAATTATAGCCCACAAAGTAGAGACTCTACTCTCCACAAGCCATGTCTCTATCTCCCCCAACATCTCTTACCAGAGAGCACGGGGCAGGGCTGTCTCCTCAGGGTTTTCTCTAAGTGTCAGGCCTTCTCTTTAGCAAAAGTGGTCATAGTTGATTGCTGATCATTCAGTTCATCAGTTGACTGCCTGATTCCTGGGCTTGGGAAGTGAGAATCTCACTTTTCAGCCAATTTGCTGCATCCTGAGATCATAAGTGTAGAACCCCTTAGGTGGGGCATTTGTCAAATGCTCTATGAACTAGCAAATGTTTAAACATTATTAAAAGAAAAGAAAATGAAGCCCCAATAAAGTAAAACCTCAAGTAAAAGCTGACACAGAATATTAATCCTCAGCAGGATTTTTAGAATCTGCATCACAGAAGAGGCCCTTAGGGATGAAGAAAAATATAAAGTCCTCATTCACTGCCTCTTAAACAGGAGTCCCAGGCAACAGTGACTTTCTGAAGGATTTGCTGCCAATGGAATGTGAAGACATCTGTTGGCCCAATAGTTGAAAGCAAGAGACTGGCAGGTGTCACTGGCACACAGCTTTTAGAGTCGTTTATCAAAAAAAAAAAAAAAATTGCTGTTCCTTCACTTGTGTTCATGAGACCCTATAACATCTCCCAGAGCAGGAAGACCATTAAACGATGGGTACAATTTAGATGAGGGGAAGAAAGAAAGCATAATGGCAGAAGGAAGAAAGCAGGAACACTCTAAGCACCAGAGAGAATTGTAGCAAAGACAAAAACAAGGAAATGGGTAAATGCGGGTTTATCACTTAAGGAAATTGCTGAATAGTTCTCCTACCTTTGGCCATGTACACATCTTTACCAACATTTGGTGTTGTCAGTCTTTTTAATTTTAACCATTCTGGTGAGGGTGAAATGGTACCTCTAGTTTCAGTTTTCATTTCCTTCATCTCCAATGATGTTAAACATCTTTTCAGGTGTTAATAGCTGTCTTTATATCTTCCTTTTTGAAATGTCTGTTCATCTTTAGCCCCCCTCCCCTTTTTTTTGAGTTCTCTTTCTCAGATCCTACTCAGGTCCACACACTCAGCTCCAGAAACCTCTATCAAAGAGGAAGTCATGTCAGTCCACCTCTTTCCTTCCCCTTTGCCTTATAAAACAGAAACAAACAAACAAAACAAACAAAATAGCCCAGTTTTTAGTTAGGTTGTTTGTCTTTTTATTATAGTTTTGTAGAAGTTCTTTTTATGTTATGGATAGAGATCTTCCATGGATTGCCTGTTTTTTTTCTTATTGGTCTTTTGATGAACAGAAGCATTTATGTTTGATGAACCCTGGTTTATCAGTTTTTTTGTTTATTACTTAAGAAATCTTTGCTATCTCCAGATCAGAAGGGTATTCTCCTATGCTTTCTTTTTCTATAGATTTTATAGTTTTATATTTTACATTTAGGCCCATGATCCATCTTGAATTAAAGTTTGTACATAGATGTTTTAGGGGATTATGATCTTTTAAAAAATATAAATATTTAGCTCTTTTGTCTTCAAAGCAGCTTGCTGGGATTGTGTGTGTGTGTGTGTATGTTGGATTTATAGACCGGTTTTGGGAGAATAGAGATCGTAACAGTTTTGAGCTTTCAGAGCCATTAACATTGTACATCTTTTGATTTCGGTAATGCTTTGTAGAGTGTAGAGGTCATGGACTTTTTTTTTTTTTTTTTGGCTAGATTTAATCTTAGGCATGTAAAGTTTTTTATATTTCAATTTCCATTAGTTTTTGCTATTAGATAGAAATACAACTGATTTTTATATATAAACCTTGAGTCCTGCAATTTTGATGAACTGACTTATTCTATTGGGACTTTTTGTAGCTTCCATAAGGGTTTTCTATGTACACAACAGTGTCTCTGACAATATCAGTTTTCTTCCTTCCCGATTATTTAATTCATTCATTCATTCATTCATTTATTTATGAACTGGCTAGAGTTTCTACCATGTTGTTGAATAAAAATAGTAAGAGCAGGCATTTCTGCTTTGTTCCTATCTTAGATGGAAAAAGTTCAGTGTTTCACAATTAAGTATGATTATAGACCAAGATTTTAAAAAATATATGCCTTTTATCACATTGAAGAAATTACTTTCTATTGCTAGTTATGCTGAGAGTTTCTATCAGAAAAGGGTATTGAGTTTCATCAAGAAAACAAAGATTTTTTTCTGCATCTGTTGAGGAGATCATATGGTACTTCGTTTTTACTCTGTTATTGTGGTGAGTTATGATTCATTTTGTTGATGGTTTGCTATGCAAAAGACTGTATGTTTGATTAGGTTTATTTTTGCTTTTGTTGCTTTTCTTTGGGTGTCAAATCCAAAAAAATCATCACCAAGACCTATGTCAAGGAGCTTACTGCCTATGTTTTCTTCTAGGAATTTTCTTGTTTCCAGTCACTGAGGTCTTTTTCTTCCTGTTTCAGAGTTGCACTAAAACCCCGCACCGAAGCCAGTCTTGTTTTGAGGATAGAAAATGCAAAGATGACTTCTGGGGTTTGCATGCCCTGTCCTTCCCAGGGTTAACATTACAAGGTGGCAGAATTACAAGATGGCCTCAACTTGTACCTAGGGAAACTGTGGAAAGGTCCCTAGTCCTATTTTATGAGGCTCATTCAGGATTAGAGTCTCAGCTTTAGAGGTTCGGTCCTCCGGGTGAAGACTTGGACTTCAGAGTTAGGACTCTAGCACCTCTTCATGAATAAATTACCTCCTTTTAAAAGGCCATCAGAGCTATAATCCAGGAATGGTAGGTCAAGTTCCCTTGGGGATTTGCTTAGGGAGGTCTTGAGTTTGCTACACTAGCAGAGATTTTAAGCAGGTACCTGGGGAAATGGAGCGTGGATACAGCAGTATGGAGTATTAGAGCGGTTAGGTGGAGTACCATAAGTTTGGGGAAGGGTCCATAAAACTGAGATGGGTCCAAGTCACCTGGAGGTAGAGTTGTCATCCACGTGATTTCTAAACGTCTCTACAATTCCTGGTTCAGAGTTATCTCCCAGGCAGGGCGGGCGGAGATTATCTCAACAGCGCTGGATCAGCTGACTAACCCCTCCTTTCTGCTGCGAAGGTTAGGGAGGGTGAGGAGAGACTGTCTAATGGTTTCCTCACAGAGGGAGGAGGGGCCCAAGGGCGAGAGGGGACTAATAGAACGGAAGATGGGCAGACCCGCTCTCTTATTTCTCCCCAAGCCCCCAGCCAGCACCTTTCCTTCGCTGCCTGAGCATCAGGTCCCCTGTGCGGGGGCAGGGCAGGGGTCTCGGCCCCGCAGCTTCGACAGGAGCAAGGATGGCGGGGCAGCAGGCGCTGCTTCTAGTCGGATTCCAACTGCCTGGCCTCCTGCTCTCAGAGGCTGCCAAAATCCTAACTCTGTCCCTGGTGGGTAAGTGTTTGGCCAAAGACCCAGAGACAGGCAAAGAGCGCTTGGTGAGAGAGTCTTGTGTTTTTCCAGTCTGGAGCAGGTTTGTTACCCTGGCCGGCGGATGAAAAGGGGGGAGCCATTTGTGCAGGTAGGAACGGGGCTGGGGCCAGAAGTTTGAGATCCAGCCCAGTGCAGGAGGCCACCAGCCGCCTCCTCCAGGGCGCGGGCTGGACATTCAGAGGCTCACCCTAAACTTCTGGAGGGTGCACCGCAGTTGCTGGTAAAGACTGGGGCTAACTAGCGGTTTGCAGTTCTCGGAGGCCAAGGAAAGGTGCTCCTGGGGGCAGCAGTAATACTTTTCTGAGGGTGCCCAGGAGCCAAGGTGGAGCAGGGAAGATACTACAGTGACAATTAGGAGAGTGGAGTGTTTCGCCCAGAGGAATATATCAGGATACAGGGATAATCATAGGATGGAGCTTCCCCAAGACTTTATTTTAACCCCATAGTGGGTTCTCTTAGATCACTTTTACATCACTGAGAATCAGGGGATCTTAGAGCTGCAAGGAACCGTAAATCATCAAATTAAGTCCCCACTAGGTTTTCCTGAGCAGGAAATGAAAGGTCAGGGAAGTGAGGCGCCGATGGCAGGAGCATACGGGACCTCCATAATGGAACATACCAAATATTTACTCAGGATTTCCCATCCCCAAGATCATCCTCTCCAAGCTTCCACTGTCACCCACTTTCCAGTGGGGAGCTTTAAAAATCACTTTATCTCTATTTGAAAGCTTTTTTTTTCTTTTTCTTTTTTTTTGGCCGCACTGTACGGCATTCGGAACTTCCCCAACCACGGGTGGAACCCATACTCCGCTGCAGTGGAAGGGCGGAGTCTTAACCACTAGACCACCAGGGAAGTCCTAAAATCCTTTTTTTCCTGCTGCCTGTTTGTAGTAATAATGCAAGAGAGCTTCCTCACCCCCTAAAAGTACACTGTTCCCTAGCCTCAGGCTCTGAGACGGAGCTGGTGTGGTTTGTGAGGGGCTAGACACCCAAAAGGCACTGGGGTCCCCAAGACCCTCCATGAGCAGATGAATGTGTAGTTGCCCTTCATCCTGCCCTTTCTCCCGGGTCTTGGGATTAAAATGTGGGCCAGAGGTGTGGGGAATTTGTACTTTATCATTTCCTATTACGTCAGGCTGTACAATTCTGTGTATAAGAAAATTAAGGGCTTCCCTGGTGGCGCAGTGGTTGAGAGTCCGCCTGCCGATGCAGGGGACACGAGTTCGTGCCCCGGTCCGGGAGGATCCCGCATGCCGCGGAGCGGCTGGGCCCGTGAGCCATGGCCACTGAGCCCGCGCGTCCGGAGCCTGTGCTCCGCGACGGGAGAGGCCGCAACAGTGAGAGGCCCGCGTACTGCAAAAAAAAAAAAAAATTAAGAAGTAGCTGCACGCTCTTTCTCCTGCACCACCCGGAGCAGGTTTGTTACCCTGGCGGGCGGACGAAGAGGGAGGAGCCATTTGTGCGGGTAGGTGGGGGGCGGGGTAGGTACTCCATCCCTCTAACCCCAGTCCCCAAACCCTTGCCATTTGCCATTAATTTCTCTCCTGATTTAGCTTTCTCTGCTGCTGAGACCCTTAGATTCAAGCAAAGTCCCTGTGTTGGTGTGGGTTCGAAGAGGAGACCTTAGTGAGATGGAGCTTGCCCCTCTCTCAAGGATTGAGCTGATGTTTCCTTAGGATCCCAGGATTGTCCTCGGATAGACGATGTCCCAGCCACTCATGCATATAGGATCCTGCAGGCCCATCCCATGGACCCCACAGTTATCCTGCAAGTCTATCCCCAAGTCTTAATGGATGTGAAATATTCAGGCCTCAACTGAGAAACCTGCCTGCCAAATATATTTGAACTGCAAGCATTTTGGCTCCAACTGATAGCTCCACATCCTTCTGCTGCAATGGTTGCTTCTTGGACTCTTATTCAAGCACCCATATTTCTGGTTCCTACTCTTGCATGCTTTCCAGAGAGAAGGATCCCAGAAATAGCTCTGATTGCTTGTCCATTAGGACCCCTTCACACTCACATGCACGGCACTATGCCACAATTTCTACCAGTGCAGTTATTTCTTTAGGACATGGTGTCTCCATAAGTCCCTGACTAAAATGCAGTATGTACCTTAGGATCAGGAACTCCTTAGGGCCTAAGCCCCGAGAAGCTTATCACACTGACATGGAGGCCAGAGTCACAAGAGGAAATCTTTGATGGAGGTTTGCCACTTGTCAAGGAGCTGGGCCAGCAGGCTCTGGGTGAGCGGGCTAGGGCTTACTCAGAATGAGATGGAGAGACTGACTGATGCTGCTCATTTCCTCTACTCCCTGGCAACTTTCTGCTTCCCTACCCCTCGTCTCCTGGATTTGTCAGCCCATCAATCTTAGAATCTCTACTCTCATCATTATGAAGTTGTGCACTGTTCCTAGGTGGAAGCCATTTTCTACTGACGAATCGGGTCTCTCAGATTCTTCAAGATCATGGTTGTAATGTCACCATGCCTCTCCGGAGAGGAAATTTATTACCACCAGGTATCTTCCCCACTAATTCTTGATTGGGTGTATTCCAGGCAAGGAACAGCAATAGCAATGCCTTTTGCATAGAGGGTCTTTTCAAATAGTTTCTTCAAATGTAATTGGACTGAAAGAATGAAAAGGGTGAGTGTGTGCATGTGTGTGTTTGTGTGTGTGTCTATGTAAGGTGTAGGAAAACTTCCTGGCTCGTTCCACCAGGACTCCATGCTCTGTAGTTCTATGTTCTCTTCCTGTACCTGACTTCCACTCCATCTCAAGCAACCCTCCACACATTATCACAGACCATTTTGGTAATGCTACTTTATAACTTGGCTTGAAAACCTGTTGAACAGATGTGTTATCCATGTATAAGATTTCTAATAGGTAAGGATCACTTTTTTTCTATGGCATCGATAACTTCTCCTCTTATGGTATCTGAAATTTAAGGAAGTTTTCTCAGGAGGTCCCTTATTTATGCAACTAAGATCAGAATGTACCATTGAGATGATCTTATTTTCTTGAAAATTAGTGACTGCCTGTGAGTTTGTGCATACTGATGTAGGAAGTGCCTAAATCCAAAGAGTTTAGTTAGAATGAGCTCCTAAATCTTAGCAACTCCTCTCTATTGACAGAAAAGGAAGCAGCAGCCCTAAGAACTTGAACAATTTACTCAGGGTCACACGGCAGGTTAATAAGTGTGTTGGGTGGATTTAGGACTTTAGGCTCTGGATTGCTCATTCTGAAGTATTTCTCAGGCTTTGATTTAAGAAAAAAAAGTGCAGTATTAAGCAGACTCTGAAGAATAAAATTGTGAGAAATTATAAAACTTTGAAGGTGACTTCAGGCTTTGTAATTGTTCAGATTGTTTTAAAATAATTCTTTTTCTGTCAAAATTTCTTTTACGTTTTTATTGTGATAAAATATACATTACATGAAATTGACCGCTGTAACCATGTTTGTATAGAGTTTAGTGACTTTAAGTACATTCACACGGTTGTGCAACTATCTCTGCCATCCACCTCCAGAACTTTTTTATCATTACAAACTAGAACTCTGTACCCATTAAAAATAACTGCTCATTACCCATTGCCCCAGCCCCTGGTAAACACTATTCTACATTACTTCTCTAGTAATTTGACTATTCTAGATACCTTATATCGGTGGAATCATACAATATTTGTCTTTTGTATCTTGCACATTTCACTTAGCATAATATCTTTTAGGCTCATTCATGTTGGAGTATGTATTAACATTTTCTTCCTTTTTAAGGCTGAATAACATTTTATTGAATGTATATACCATATTTTATTTGTCTATTCATTTGTTGATGGACATTTCTGCTGTTTCCACCTTTTGGTTATGTTAGTAATGCTGCCATGAACATTGGTGTACAAATATCTGTTTGATTCCCTACTTAAAACCATTCTAATCACCTTCTAGATTAAGTTGTATATGCTTCACTGAGCATCTTTTATATGCATATCCTTTTGCACTTTCCTTGATAGCAGATCTGATGAAATAGCTGTAGTGTATTAAGATTTAATTTTTAAAATTGTAATTTAATCTAATGAAATTTTTAAATTAAATTAATTAAAATTTTAGATTAAAAAATACATTTGGCATGAACTTTGAGAAACTACTGAACTTCTACCCCTTTAACAAATGTATGTACATCAAAATCTATAAACAATTCAGGGAGTTTTTAGATCCATTCAGTCTTATTCTTAGGTTCCAGGTTTAAGTGTCTGTTTCTTTCA